TATCGATAAGTACTCAGCTATATATATGTATATATATATCCAAGAACTGATGCACAGATTTTTATGACGGCCACTCTGTAGGCTCATACACAAATGCTTGAATTGATATCCAGAGCACAAATATTTCTAGACCTTCAACTATCCTTCAAATCTCATTGACGGATGTTCTTCTACTGCTCGTTTTTTTGTTAATCTGCTCATGATACATTCTATTGATCCTCAAGCTTATTATTGTTGATTTGCCTTTGGTAAGTTTCCCAAATTACGTAATGAAATAATTATTCTGCACTCATTTTTTGAAATAAAAGACCTTCATGGTATCTTATTTTTCCATAGATCTTAAATTATTGAAAATCCATTCGAGATCTTTGATTTTTAATCTGTGTATTAGCAAACTGTGCATCCTGGTGATTTTGATTTCTATAGAAATGATCGATCTCTTTAGATAAGGATTTCTATAGAAATGATCTGTTTCTTTAGATAAGTCACGAGTATCGTCCATATAGGTTTGTGCATTGAATCTGTATTCAGTGTTTTGTGTATTTTAACAAATTCAATTGTATTTTCATCATGATTGATTAATGTAGTTCTCGTATTTTTCACCATATGTTGATTGCTTTTAGTTGAAATGTTCAATCACAAGTAAATAAATCAACTGACATGTTTTTCAATGGATTTAGGTGTTCAGAGTCTTTTGGCTAGAAAAAACATGTCTCAACATGTACTCCAATTCCATATTCATGCCGGGAACTGCTGATATTTTGCGGCAGAAAAGATCTTCCTCACAGTAAGAAATAGAGACTTGAGATTGGGCTCCATCAAGGGGTAAAATGTCTGAGCAACCACCTAAGCTAAGCAAGAGAACAAATAAGGGACATGAACACAAGAAATCATCTTCTAGTCCCAAGGACAGTCTTTCAAAAAAGCAGCAGAGGAAAGGAGAAAATCCTGTCCGAATACCACTAGCTAGTGAGCAGTGTTCAGATTTCAAATGTTCAAGCTCATGGATCTGCAAGAATTCTGCTTGTCGAGCCACTATTCCAATAGATGACACATTCTGTAAGAGGTGCTCTTGCTGTATATGTCACCTATTTGATGACAATAAGGATCCTAGTCTTTGGTTAGAGTGTGCTTCAGAGACTGGTCATGGAGAATCTTGTGGTTTAACTTGCCACATCGAGTGTGCCATCCAACGAGGGAAGGTAGGCGTGGTTAATCTTGGACAACTAATGCAGCTAGATGGGAGCTATTGTTGTGCTTCTTGCGGTAAAGTTTCTGGAATTCTGGGGTATGCCCTTTGTTCTAAGGCTCTTTTTTTTTACTGATAGAAGGTTTCAGTTTGGGAATGACTTCAATAGTTCATTTATATATGGTTTTATTTGACAGGTACTGGAAGAAGCAACTTAGCATAGCAAAAGATGCTCGTCGCGTCGATATTCTTTGTTATAGAATACACTTGTGTTACAGGCTCTTCGACGGGACTTGTAGATTTGGAGAGCTACACGAAATAATTAAAGATGCCAAGGCGAAATTGGAAACCGAAGTGGGCCCACTGAATGGAGTTTCAGCTAAGATGGCTCGCGGGATTGTTAGCAGACTCCCTGTTGCAGTTGATGTGCAATTGCTCTGCTCTCTAGCTATTGAGAAAGCAGATGAATTCCTAGCTGCAAAGTCCTGTGCTGCCCCTAATCTTGGAGGTATTGCTTATGTCTAGTTAAACCGGTATCCAGGAATTAATGCTATAATTTTGTATCTTTGGTACAAATTCATGTAAAAAAAGGTGATAGAATCTTGGATCTAGGGTACCTAGACCAAGACTCCATTGTAGAGAAAGAATGAAGAAATCATGAATGGAGAAGAAGAATGAAGGAGTGGGTGTAGTGATGGATTGTGTTGGGTCTCCCCCTCCCCCTCCTCAAGAGGGGTATAAAAAGGGGATATTAAGGTTAGGGTTTAGGCCCAATCCATATACAAAAACTAATGGGCTGGCCCGACAGACTGGCCGCCCAAATAACTAATCAGTACACGACTAACGGGCCGGTCCAACAGACTGGACTGTCCCAACCAACACTATGCAAAAACCGGATACCCCCATGTCTAGGGTATCCATCAAAAGGTGAACTATATTTATGACTTCTTCTTTTCATGTTATGGTAAACCCTTTTCAGAGTGCTCACTGCCAGCAGCATGCAAATTCCTTTTTGAGGAAGTGACATCATCTTCAGTCGTGATAGTGCTCATAGAGCTATCCGCAGAAGATGTGAAAGGCTACAAGCTCTGGTACTGTAGGAACCGAGAAGACGCTTATACGAAAGAGCCTGTTTGTGTCTTCCCAAGAAGCCAGAGACGAATTTTGATCTCCAATTTGCTTCCCTGTACAGAATACTGCTTCAGGATAGTGTCCTATACAGAGGCTGGTGATTTGGGACACTCTGAGGCTAAGTGTTTCACAAAGAGTGTTGAGATATTTAGCAGAACTTCAAGCGAAGTCGCCCGTAATCAGATTGTGAAACATAATTCAGATACTGGAGGAAGCAGCTCTTGTGCTGCTGGGACAGTGGTGGAGTCAGATTCTGGGTTTAAGGTCCGTGACCTTGGGAGAATCTTAAGGCTAGCTTGGGCTCAACAGAAAGGGTGCTGTTCATCATCAGAAATGGAAATGTTATGTGGCATTGCTGACACTAATAACAATAAGGCAGCAAATGGTGGCACACAAAAAGACCAAAAACCCCCTGCTTCACGCCAGCTTGACTTGAATGTTGCTTCGGTTCCCGATTTGAACGAAGAGTTGACCCCTCCCGTTGACTCTTCTAGGGACGAAGTAGAGGAAGAAGACAATGGGAGTGATGAAGATGACTCCCTAAATTGGAACAAGAAGAAGAAGAAGAAGAGGGGTCATGGAAACAATGGCGGAGAAACACATGACTCTGATAGCACACTTATAAATGATGGGTCCCCAACCAAATCGCGCAATGGATGCTTCGATGAGAACTTTGAATACTGCGTGAAGATCATTCGCTGGTTGGAATGTGAGGGCTACATTGAAAAGGACTTCAGGTTAAAGTTGCTAACTTGGTTTAGTTTGAGGTCAACTGAACAGGAAAGACGGGTTGTCAACACCTTCATTCAAACACTAATGGATGATCCCATTAGCTTAGCTGGCCAGCTGGTCGATTCTTTCTCAGACATGGTTTCCAACAAGAGGGCCCGAAACAGCTTCTGCACTAGGCTCTGGCATTAGAGGACTTTCTTTAACATTGTTTCTGACAAGCCGTCCGTTGTTACGCATATGCAGAAAATCTTTCCCATTCACTTCTCTCTCACTGTCAGTACAGAAAGCAATATTCTTTTGTGAAGCGATTCGTTGGTAGTGTGGGATGGATGCACGCAGACATCATTGTGTCTAGATTCAAGGGAAAAAAAAGGCTTACATTTGTTTGTTGTGGAAACCAGATTTCTGTCTTGTTTTCTGAATGTTGTTAATTGATTCATAAAGTAGTAGCTAGGTTTATTTAAAACAAGCTTATTTGGATGATACAACATTGTTTTCATTTGCTGCTGGCTCTATCTCTTGTGTTCATAATTTTCACATGCCCAATCTTGCATTTTCAGTTCCCTGGCAGTCTGTTTGGGGGAAGTTGGAAGTTTTTTTTAAATATTATTTCTAGTTAGTTTTATGATTTCAAATGTACTTCATCTCTGCCAATTTAATTTGTCTACTTGATTTTTTGCTGTATTCAATGCAATATTTTGAAGCATGTTGTAACATATTGTACTATGGAAGCATGTTGGTGTAGTGACAAGAAAGCCATTCTAAAGTACTCAACATCTTTTGTTCGAGTCCCACATCGTGCTAAACACATAGCCTATACTTTAGTGTGCAACGTAGGGTTCTCCTATTATTCTCCGTTATGGAGTTTTATTGACTTTAGATAAATCATGGAATAAATCATGAATCTTGAAACAGATAAATCATAATCCAATCTTTTCTTTAAGTAGTTGAGGTAACTCTTCATAGAATTTATTAATTTCAAATTCTGCTAATAATCTTCTTTTGCTTCATTTTCTCAATCTTTGCTTGCATCTTGAATTCATTAACCTTCAAATACATCACGAAGTTTTCTTAAACTACTCTGAAAAATTGCACTTCAACAAATTTGTATTGAGATTGCTAGGGTGGAGGTATACACACCCTTTATACGTATTACCTTTTATTACATCTTCTCTCTTTTTCACATCGACACCACATTAGATTTTACTTATTTCATGTAGAGTACTTTTTTACCACAAGTGAGAGTGTACATACGTCATTTTGACAACTTACTACAATGATTTTTAAGCAATTAACTTAAACTAATAATACAAATTAATTTTAAATAGTTTAAAAATATTTTATTTTTAAATACTTAATTTTAAGTACATTAATATAATGTCCAGATATTTAATTAACACGATAACAAAATGATTACATTTCATCTATCTAAACAAAATTACAATACTAAATAAAAGATAATACCACTCCAAAATAAGTATCACAAAAAATAATAATAGGAAAAAATATAATAGTAATATATGTAGTTTTACAAATTCTGCTATTTTGAAGATGTAATAATGTGTTATATATAGGGGTGATTATAATTTGTCAATTTTTTAATGAAAAGGTCAAAAAATTGATGATTCAATATGTTCGATAAGACGTACACCTTCATGCCGGTTTGTATGGTACCAGAAGGAAAAGAGGGATTTTACCATTATATGCCAAATGCCACACAAGTTGAATTTGATACCAAATTGCTTTCACTTTCTCTATACACAGTATGAACTTATTCTCCTGGCTTGATATGATTGAATTTGATCTCATTTTATCGAGGTCTAATTTGATCTAATCTGGTCTAACCGGGTTATAGTTATATTTAAAGTTATTTCTGATTTGATCTGATTGAATCTGATTCGAGTAAGAATAAGTAATAAATAATAAAAATATGTTGAAGAAAACAATCACTAAATAACATTATTTCTTGAAGTACTAATCAATAATGTAAGGGACATAAAGAGAGTAAACTTTAAGGGAATATTAAGAAAAAGACTACACTTCCTCTGCCGCCGTTAAGGCGTCAACATCACTCCTACACCGCTGGTTGCCACCTTCGACACCTCCTCCGCCGCTAGCTGCCTCCTGCCATTGTCCAGCACCGCCACTGCCTACTACAGGAAAACCAACAACACATCACAGCACCCAATCAGTTTTAAAGTTTTTTTTAACGAAGGCAATATTAAAAAAAAAAAAGGCTTCCATGACATTTTAAAACTTCCTTCGTCTGGAATTAATTGTCCACATTCTAAAAAATATTGTCTGTAAAGTGTCAAGTAAACTCTTCAAATGACTTTGTTCTAATTCATTTCAACAAGGTTCTGTTAGGATCAAATCAAGAACACTCACAGAAATCCGATGAAGAAGGTGAAGAAAAAACGAGAGAGTAAAAGTAGAGAGAAAGTGAAACACGTGAAATAACGTGGTAACACCCCGTGAGTAAACTTCCACGGCGGCTAGATGTGTTTATTGATGATTTCAGGCAGATACAATTACAGAGAATTTGACTCTTGCCTCTCTACAAAAATTAGCTACAAAGGAGAATATATATAGGCATTACAACCTCTACTTACTTAACCATTAAGAAAACTTAGTCATTAAGCAAACTTAGCCATTAAGTAAACTTAACCATTAAGAAAGCTTAGCCATTAAGTAAACTTTGCCATTAAGTAAACTTAACCATTAAGCAAACTTAATCATTAAGCATCAGGCTCCATAACCTAACAATTCTCCCACTTGGAGACTGATCCAATCATCTCAGAAATTGCCAACATCATCAATTTCTTCACCGCACCGCAACATCTGTAGTGAACAACTACAGAAGACCAACCGAGG